ATGTTCACTTCGTGTACACTTACCAGGTTGTGTAACAGGAGCGTCTACAGCATTGATAGCATTCATAGTAAGATTTTGTAGTTGTTCAAGCGCTTTTTGGTTGTATTCCGCCAGAGCGCTAAGGGCCGCCTCAATAGCACCAGCCTTTTCAATATAATCCTTTGCGTGTTGTTCGGACAAATCGGCGGCTTCTTCGAAAATAGCTCGAAATTGATCCATAACTTCCGCGTAATTGGCAGCGGACATTTCTTTGAGCATTGGGATCTGATCACGCACCTTCTTAGTCACAGTTCCAATAGACTGTCGTCGAGGGACTTCGACCATCTCGGGCTTTTCCGTTTCCTCGTTATCTTTTGGTTTCATGGTAGTAAACGCTTGTTTTTGAACCTCGCAGGTAAAATCACTTAAGCAAAAAAACTAAGCTCAAGCTGATTGTTCTTTCTTCGTCTGTTGTGTATGGTTCAGAAACGGGGTGTGCGTGAGAACTGATATAATGTGTGGTTATATGAAAGCAAGATCTCATAATCTTTCTTGAGAAATCATTTCTTGGGATTGTGTATACATAATATTGATATTCGAAAAAATAAACTAAGAAACATCTATCGCTGAATACGGAAATGAGGGAATCCCGTTGGTGCACACAGGCACCTACACTGAAGTCTTTTGTGGTAAGAAGGAATTGCAGAGTGAATTGATAATCGATTTGACCTCCCACATACAGGCATTCAAAGACATTTGATCAGGTGACTTGCTAAACTGATCAGTCCGATCGTGTCTGATTCATCTCTTTCTAAACATGCACACCAACAGCAAGTTGATGATCACGTACAAACAGCCAGCACTTACGCGTGTTGGACTGATAGTATACGTCCTTATCTGTGATAGGACGTTATTAGAATGGAGGTCATTCCAAGAACTATCCAAAATCACGAGTCAGCCCCTAGCCTGACACTTAGTTCGGAAATTTGGCTGATAAAGAAGAGAAAATACGTATACATTTTTACTAGATTTATTGCAATTGCTTTCCTTCGGTTGTTGACTCACAACTAAGTAGACAATGTTTTCGATATTTTGAATTAGTACACATACTTGATTGACCGATTACAGCTCTGCTCATAACGAAGATAGAGGCGAGCAGGTAGAGCACACGAATGTGCTAGGGTAACATTAGTCAACGTTAGGATCATGGAGATGAGAGGACAAAGGTCAAATCAAATAACCTTGGAGAGATGGGCTGACTAAAATGTTCGTTCAAGTTGTTAGCCAAGGCGGGAGAGCGGAATGATGTTACGTAAGATGCACTGGGATCTATCTATAAGTCATGTTTTATCGTTGAACAAGGAACATTTACTTCCTGTTTTTAGTCATTTGTACGAAGTTTTATGGTTGTGTTCCTATCTACGTTTGTGATTTTCACACCAATAAACGCTTTTGCTCGTCATCAAGAGCACTTCTTGTGTGCAACTTCTCATTGGGACCGTTTGCTCTTATGATTCCGTATGCGAATATGGACTTTTATTTCTTTATTTCCGTGAATGAGTACTTCAAAATGGCTATTATTACCAACTGTCTGGTCAGCTAATCAATACTGTAGTCCTTGTACAGTAATCCATCTGGAAAAAGGTCTAATGGATGTCGTAGATTCTAACCAGGTTGCATGAATCGATTGATAGTGGTAACAGTTCCGAACAAAAAGGATCGGTGATCGCCGATTGTTTGTGTTGCCATTCGGTCAAGGGGTGTGCTAAATGCATCTCATACCCTAAAGCCCATTTTCCAAGATCCAGACAATTTCGCTGAATCAGGGATCGAATTCGTTTACGAGTGGTAGAATTAAGCGACTAGACAATTTTTTGCTATCACACGTAGAGGCGTTCGTAAAAGCATAAAAGAAAAACGGGGGTGCGTTAAAACCATCTCATGCACTTTATCGAGGCAGGGATAACTTGCAGTCAGATAAACATAAAAAACTATTTATGCACCGCTCGAATGCACTGATTTACCACAAAGGCTTTGATGGATTCCCGCCAATTGCGAAGTTATACCAAGTGAAATCAAGTAGCATTCGGATTGGTGGGGGGAATGAGCACATAATTCACCCATTCACAATAAATGACGGCAGACAAACCCACCAATCTTTGTATTTTACTCGTACACCACGAATACAGTCACGTGGAATGGGCGCGCACAGACAGCATCACTTGGTTGCCAAGTTGTGGGACACTTGACAGCATGAAGCACAATCATGTTCTAACCCATACATTTCATTTACTGGATAATCAATTCGATAACAGTTCACCCGATCCAATTGGGTTCCCCTATACATATGATTAAAATGGTTTGACAGAAAAACGACCGAATCAATGTTTTCGCCCACAAAGTATGTTCCCCTGTATATTCGTTCAAAATAGTTATCTGAATAAAATAAAGCAGCAATTCGAGCTACACTGCTCGAATAATCGATTGATTACCGGTAATCTGTGATGAATGTTGATCCGCCAAGGCCTACGATGAAGAATTTTTAAACAGTTGTAAGAAAATTTGTATTCCGTTTTTCATAAAGACTTCTGTACTAGTGATAATTTTTTTCAGCAAAACGGAACCGGATCGTCTGTTACTGTTTGAGTTTTCAAACCGAAAAAAGCTTTCACTCCTTCCCCATCTCAGTTATTGGATTGCCACAGCCGTAACGCAGCATAGGGGGCATAAAGTTGTGGTGAGTAGGCCCCCCCTCCCCATCCCACCCCGAGATGAGTCCAGGCAAGCGCCTGTGCGTTCCAGTTTCCGGACATCGGGCCATGGACCATCGATCAATCAAAGGCCAGAGAGTTCAAACAGAAGTCATGTAACTCGAGGAACGAGAACGGCGATTAGCTGATATTTGTTTGACCAATGATACTTCTATTTTCATATTATTTAATCCCATTGATTTCTTTCATTAAACGAACCGCTACTTTTGTGGTCTTTTTCCTACATTTCAGTGACAGGAGATTCCAGCGTGCAATTGGTGGCATGACTCTGTGCTTCAGTTGCAACCATCACTCGTGATCCGTAATTCCTATCTACATCGTTTACTACAAAAGTGTTACCGAAAACGTAGCCAAAAAATTTGTCTTTGATACGTTAATAATGGCGCAGTTATCATCTGGGAGATGTCAGAACTAGAACAACCACACAGTACCATCACTGGCACGTGCAATGAGATCAAGTTCACAATGAAGACAGAACAGAATAACTAACCAGCATTTGCGGACATATTGATCAGCCGAAAAATATCAGGGACACAGGAGACAATAGTCTACAGGATGGCAACGCACACTGATCAAATCCTACACTTAAAAAGTAATCATTCAAGCTGAAACAAATGATACGGTATCGGAACCATACTCACAAGAATCCGAACTCACTGCAGCACAGCCTCAGTTAAAGAGAAAAAAGAAAACCATCTCTCCAGCTTATTCACTCGCAAAAGGCTGCATCCTTTGCTTCATCAAATGAACTGGAGTGCAAAGAAGGAAACAGACAGACAGACGGATGATCAGGAACAGAGCCAATCCTGCTGTACATTATGGACATTTCAGAAATGACAACAAGGCTGCTGAGACGATACTGTAGTAATTGTAGTATTTGTATTACGTACTGATCACAATGTACGAATCACGAACTAGAAATCACGGACTCAACGTAAGCTCTGGATCACACTGGTACTTGCACGCAGTATCCCACGTAACCGAGACGCGAGGAAAAGACCACAGGAATAACAGTTCTTTTATTGAATGAAATCAGAGGGGGGGGTAAATAAAATGTACAAAACAAATTCATTGGTCGCGTGCTGGCATTTCTGGTGTTGTTCAGCTTCTGCCTGGGCTGCACGGTTTCCAAGTGGTTGGTACAATCGGCCTATGGTTTGTAGTTCGGAAGCTGTGACACGTACGCACATTGCTGACGTCACTTGAGAAGCTTGTATCATTACAGTTGTCCGAAAACTGTGATGTGTCGCATCGTGGTATGCGTCATTCCGTGGGCCATGATCACCACATTTACGCAATCCAAGTGGATCACAAACCGCTCCCCTGCCTACTGAAATGTTCTCAAAAATAATGGGGAACCATGAAGACAGGCAAAGTAGGGATATTTTTTGCTCTCTAAGTTGTTAGGTTGCTTTAACGTTCTCCCGTTAACCTCATCCGAGCTACCAGACCCACATACTGCTCAAATCTCATAGCGATGTCTGGATGATCACCATTGAGCACATGTTTGTCAACCTCTTGCAGAAGCGCAGGGTGAGACAGTGCGGTGACCTACCTCAGTCACACTCTCGATCTCCCATGTCATTTCTCCGCCTTTCAGCTTGCCCGTATGGGTATGCGTCTATACACGTGTCCCTGTAGTGGTCGTAATAGTAATAGTAGTAATGCACACTGGACTCGGAATACAAACCAAGCAATACGAATCCCGGAATATGAATCAAGGACTAGTAATCACGAACTGGATCACGTAAGCACTGAACCGCAATGGCACTAGCACACAATATCCCACGTAACTGAGACGCGAGGAAAAGGCCACATTGATGATGATCCATTTATTGGAAGAAATAAGGGCGATTAAATAATATGTACAAGAGAAGATCATTGGTTATCCAGGCTTCCACCAACCGCATTTGATTGCATCATCCTGCTTCTGTCTGGACTGCACTGTCTCAGATTAGCTGGCACGATCTGGTTGTGCTCTGTAGTCAGAAACAATGACACGTACGCGCGTCATTGACGTCACTTTTTAAATTTGATTGACCGCAGGTGTCCAAAAACTGTAACGTGCCGCGCCAGGGTAGGCGTCATCTCGTAGACCTGAATAAACACAGCCCCTTCCCCTGAAGAATCACATAGTACTGTTCCATTACCACCAATAGATCGCATTGGATCACTGTATGGGCCATTGTCACCACAATTCACAGCCAGTTGGTGTGTTGCTCGCAGATTACCCTCCATCTATCTTTTGCCCGTATAGAAAACACTTCGTGTCCTTCAAGTACCACACTATCAAAACAAACATAACTCTGAACAGAATAAGATATAAATATATCAAATCCACTTTGTTTGAAATAGTGTAAAGATAGTTGAAGAAATATGCCATGAATTGCATGACAGTTGCGTAATTTTATAAAACATTTTGGGTTCAAACAGTAGAATGTTTTCAAAAATGAACTGTTCCTATTATGGATCCTGAAATTATGTAGCCCTTGCAGACTACTGGTTCACTACATATTTCTGTCATGATAGAAGCAGGGTTTGTTGAGATTAAGTTATGATACTCACACTTGGCTATCGTGAACTACCTTTGATTTATTTTATTCCCGGTGAAGC